GATCCTCTGCAGTGAATGGGTGCCGTCAGAATGTGAGTCCAAACAGCTGGTAAAAACATCACAATAATCCACAAGGAATCCACATGACTTCAGTGATAAGCATGTTTGCAAGAAACAAATCCATCATTAAGGCATTTTAACTTTAAACTGTCACTTCTGGCCAAAATATGATAAGTTTTCACTGAAGAAAGCAATATTATAGACGGAGAGCTCGTTTGAATGGATCGTTTGTCTTAATGATGGATTTGTGTCTTACAAACACACAGCTTTTCACTTCGCAAGATGTTAACTGGACTGGAGTTGTGTGGATTACTTGTGGATTATTAAGATTTTTGTGATTATTGTGTTTTTATCAGTTGTTTGGACTCTCATTCTGACGGCACCCATTCACTGCAGAAGATCCACTGGTGAGCAAGTGATATAATGCTAAATTTATCCAATTCTGATCCAGTGAATAAACAAACTCATCTACATCTTGGATGGCCTGAGGGTGAATAATTTTTCTACAGATTTTCATTTTAAAGTTGGACTTTAAAAAGTAAAACTTTAAAGTTGGTTGATTGGCTTTGTCTAGGAATGCAATGGTACAAAATTTACAGGATGAACAAAATATAACGTTTGTTGATAAGTGTAATGCAATATCATTTAACTCTTGTGTTGTCCTGTTAACAAATTTCTCCAACCTAACATAACAAGCATCAGAAAAATATTGTGAATTACACTACAACATATTAAAAGTTTTTATATGGTCCCAAAGTGAATTACAATTGAAAAAATTATTTAATTGAATATTGATGGCACAATTTCCATAAAGAAAAGTTAAACATTTCTGCAACAGTTGTGCCTTTTCCTTGATAACTTCAGACTCAATTTAATAATTTCAATTTCATATCTCATGTAAAAAACTTTTGTATTATTTTGCTAGTGAACGAACTCCGTGAATCTTAGAGCTACAACTTTAGTTCTAGTGCATTTCATGTAACTGAATGTGTGTGTGTGTGTGTGTGTGTGTGTGTGTGTGTTTCTCTGTCTCCGTCAGGGGTCTTGGAGCCAGTGCTGATATGGTACATGCTGTTCAAGACAGGGGTTTTCCTCATCATATCAATAACTGCAGCACTGATAATTGTGTGCCAGAAGCACTGAAAAAGACCTGAATTTCTGTCATGTAAATTAAAAACTATATGCTTCTAATAAATCATGTTCTCCATGTATCTTCTCTTGTATGATGTTATACAGAATTCAGTATTCTTCTTAGGCTGAATCTGTAAATGTCAGATGCTCTGTGTTGTTCATAAGTCTAATGTCCGATGCTCTTGTGGATCCTGACCTTTTCTTTCTGCACTAGTTCTTGATTTCTGAACAGTTACAGAAGATGATGTAAATGAACACTTTTTCACAGGTAAAGCTTTGTGTTTGATAATGTCCTCTCAGCATTTTTATTAACAACTAACTAACTAGCTAAATAAAGCCATGTTTATACATTTTCACAAGTCTCATCTGACGGAAAGCCTTTCATATTGATCCATTTGATTGGACCATTGGTCCAACAACTCCCATCTGGTTAAAAAGAGTTTGTATAAGAAAATATTATGTCATTTGCTATTTGTGTTTTAAATAAGATGATTTGTTGTTGTCGTTTCCATGTAAAATATATTTGTTTTGTATAAGGATCTGTCAAAGACAATTGTCCAGCAGTCTAAGAAAGACAATAAAGCTTTTTTAAATTTGAATTGAACATAACCGCATCTCACATTTTCAGGGGGAAAAATGTTAAACGTTCTTTTCGTTGCTGTAAATTATATAGCAAAATTAGTTGTGTAGACAACATAATGACGGGATTTCAACACTTGGGGGAGCTCGTGTTTATTTTCAACCCTGCCGTTTCCTAATACAGATTAATACACTTTATGAGCTGTTTATTCCTATTCATAAAGGCTTTTTATTGTCAGCCATATTTATCATATTATGTTTTTTTTTTTATCTCTGATCAACATGAGTTCATAATATTAGCTATTCTGACACAAGTCGCTCGTCCTTACGAAATATTCAGGTAAATATCATTGTGCAGTCTTGTCAGCACGGCCTGCAGTAGCCTAATCAGAGACTACCTTTATGCTTATGGGGGAAAGATTTAAAACATTCTATTGAATTAATTTTTGTAACACCATAATATACTACAAAATAATCACCATTGAGAATTATGACCCAAAAATAAAAGTAAAACATTTTGATATATTACAATTATGCCTATATATTTTCCCTGGTTTACCCAACTGTAAATAAATCCACGTGCGCTGTTATTCAGAAACGTTATCTCAACGTATTTGTCTAAGACGGTTAAGGTCTCGCTGATATGCAGGCAGTAGCCTACATGTGAAAGTATGTGTGACCTGCATCTGAACTACGTTATGGGATAATGAAACTTTTACCAAATCTGTGACACGAGTATCTTATCCACGCAGACAAGTACAATGACGTCCGACAGCGTTTACATGAAGGACAGAAGCTCAGTGATAGGGACAAATGAGCACAAGCAATTTGTGTGAATAAAATTTAAGATAAAAATAAATAAATAAAAAAAACCTCTTAATACTTCTCTATATTTATGCTTACATGAAATGTGGAAAAAGCTGATCATTAAAGCATCTTTAAAGATGCAGATGTTCTCTTTTAATACAAGTTCTGA